TTACAATTATATAATATCTTTTTCTATTTTATTTAAAAATCCTAATTTCATTGATTGTATATGGTAAATAACTAATTAAATGAGAGAAAATGTTATAAATATTAAGATATTATATAATTGTCTCATAATAAAATAATAATTTGAATTTAAAATAAATAAAATTTATATATTTTTATTTGTTTATTTTTCAAGTTGGACCAGTCAAAATAAACCAAAATTTAATATATTATTGTATGAAAATATAAAATAATCTGCTTACTCCATTTTAAATTGTTCAATCTAAATTTCAAATAGATAAATCTAGTTAAAATAAAATAAAAATATATAAAAATAATAAATTATCCAGAACCTAATTTTCCAAAACCTAATTTCATACTCTAAACCTATCAAATAAATAGGTCCAAAATAATAAATAATTCTTTCATACCTATTTATTTTATTTGATAGGTGAGTCATACATATCAAATAAACACTTTATTATTTTCAAAAATAAATTTAGAAAATTTAAATACATACCAACAAAGTAATTATTATTTGTTGCCTCCCTATTTGTAAGTTTTAGAATATTAACAAAATTAAACTTATAATAATAGATGAAACCCATTTGAGGATGCAACTTAATGTTGGTAGAGAATATGAAAGCTAATCTTGTAAGGATGATATGTTTGTCCTATGATCAGGAACACTAAGAGACCCTAAATTTTAAAATTTTATATATTTTAAAGAGATACAACATATATCCAAAATATCTCCCAAAAGGCTTTCAAATGATTGCATAAATCCAATCATCCTATAGCAATATTGTTCCATAGATAGAATAAGTATTATATATTGAATGTAATTAATGTAATTCAAATTATAAAAAAAAAAGACATAAACACTTACTTAGAATCCTTGAAAACTAATTTAACATTGAATGAGGCTCATTTAGTAGGGAGAATTAAGAGGTGATTTAAATTAAAAAATAAAAATGATATATATTAACTATTTATTTTTCTGCGTGTAGATATTAAAGGAATTTTATTATACCAAACTTAATATATGATTCACATAATGAGACTCTAATTAGTAATATATGAAATTAACAGTTTCAAATAACTGGTTGCAAAATTCAAATTATATAAATATGGAAAAAATTAATATATGAATTTAATATAATGAGACCCAAATTAAATATATAATATCTATATTTTATCATATTTATATTTTTTGAAATTCATGAGGATAAATTTAAATAGTAAAAACATATTCTTTTTCTAATATTTAAATAGATGTATATTAATTTAAATTTGGATCCTAATATATAGCCGTATATATATACTTGAAAATATAAATCCATATTTTCGCAATATATTTAGGTTAGATAGAGTTATTAAATAAATAAATATTATTAACAGTTTAAAGGAAATTTAAAAAATACTAAGTAAAACAAAGGAAATTGTATTGATTTTTAATTCTAATGTCAAATCCGAAAGATTCCCTTCTAATCATGCATAAAAAATTGATATTTAATATTAAGAGATAGATATTAATTTATTAAGTTATATATAGAAAAAATTTGAACCTAGATTTTTGCCATATATTTAGATTGGATATAGTTATTAATAGACAAATATTAATTTGAACTTAAACATGACCATATGAATTTTTAAATAGATAAAAATATATTTTTTTTATACATATAAAATTAATAATTCATTCCACCCCTAACTCCAAACCTAAATAATATATTTTATATTTCTCAAAAAACAATAAAACATCTCGAACATAACTCTAAGCCTGACTCCGGAGCACATAATCGCATGAAAAGTATCCTGAAGCACAGAATAATAGCAAATTTAAAAATGAACACGTAATATTCTCTTGTAACCTTAAATCCTATTTATATATATATATAATGATGACTCTATTTAAGCTAATCAACAGTTACAATTGAAACCCCTTGATCAACTAACTCTAACCACCTAAACTTAGATTGGGCCTTCACATGGGCCTAATGTTATTCTGAGAAATAAAATATACTAGTTATAATCTTATGTTATGAATATTTTTGAATAAAGTTAAAGAAATATGGCTATACGAATTTAAAGATTATTAAATTCCTGTATAAAGAAATCATTAAATAGTAATCATGCATGGGTTGACGTTTGTACCTAAAGCATTTGTTCCTATTTTATTCGTTTGCTATAGAGGGCTGGCTCTGCCTCACAGGATGGACTCACCTTCAATAGAAAACTGATCATGATGTCTAGAATCCATTGAGATTGTCTTTGTCTGGATCAATGTAAATGTCATTGTTGCTGCTTCTACATCCTTCATCCCTTATTTCTCTTGCCATGTCTCTCTCAATGTCTCTTTTACCCAACACTTGCCAGCTACACTTTCTTATTTAAATACTAACTTCTTTTTAACCATGTTCCATGTGAAAAACAACATTTGAAGCTGGTTTACAACAATAGAGGAACTACGAATATACAAAATACAACCCTGATAACGGTAATTATATTGTTTATGAATACAGCAGAGATGACACACATTTGGAAATTGATGTCTACAAGTCCACCAAACTGCATCAAATTCATCAAGGTGTGCCAAATCATTTTCAAACACTAAACAAATGCCTATGCCCTACCATTCACTAGAATGGCAATCATGAGGTATATTTATAATGGACAACACATTTTTTGCGATCACATCATGGGGGACTTCTTCTTCACAAAAATAGTTTTGATTGTGAAACCACGATGGCACTTCATCACTTGGAATAACTAATAACTGAGAAGGTTGCACAAGATACGAGGCTCTGGCATAAATATTTGAGTTAGATATGTACAATATATTAATGTTTATCTAATAGCAAAATTAGACAAATCAATATATTAGAAATATAATTTAAGGGATTTGAATAACTCACAATTTGTTCAATTGAAGTAACAATTTGTGGGGTTGGAGTTGTAAGCATTGAGACACAACTTAAAAATGCAATTCTAAGCTCCTGAAGTTGAAATGAGACTTCACTGAGTTTAAGAGCCTGCAAGAACAAATTTGCCAAGTTAGAGGGCTACAACAATGAATGTGGGAAGGGGGAGAGTTCGGTAATATATATATATATATATATATATATAGTTATGTTAAAACAAATAAAATAAACCTGAGATTGAAATGATTCAAGCAACTCCCACAGTTGCTGTGAATGTGCATATAGTGTTTGATAGATGTGGAATTGCTTGTAACTATAGTTGATAGGTTTGATGGAAGTTTTGGCAAAGATTGAAGCCTGGGGCAATCAATGAAAGAATGCATTCAAGCTTCAAAAGATTGGAAATGAGACCAAAAGGCACATCAACAAAATTGTTTTTCACTAAGATCTAAATATGTCAATGATGTTAACTTGCCAATGTCATGAAGAAGTGATTCGTCATGGAGATTGCAATAAGGTAATTTTAATTTTCCCAAATACCTTGGACTTGATAAGGCAGAGGACAACATAAAATTGTTGAACTTGAAGGCCTTTGAAGCCTAAATGCCCACTTGATAAAGCGATCTATGATAAAGGTCGTGCTTGACTATCATTGCACCCATCAAATGATAACACTTTAACTCATTCAATCATGAAGGAACTTTATTTATTGCAGTTCCACCCACATTGAGCTCTTCCAAATCCTTATTTTCTTTCAAATTCTCTGGTAGCCTTGAAATCTTTGAGCAACTAGAGACATTGATATTTTTATAGCTTTCAATTTGTAGATGTTATTTGGAAGGAAACTAAGTCTTTGCAATTCTTCAAATTTAATATAGTAAGACCAATCAAATTGGCCAATGAATCGGGTAGCTTGGCTATAGCGGTACCCTTTAAATCAAGCACTAATAGGCGATCCATACCTTTTGCAAGCTTAGGAAGCTGTCTAACTTTCAAACAACCTGACAAGACAAAATGCCTCTAAGCGGTTCATCTCAAGTTGGCATGGAAGTTTTTAAATACTTTTACAATCTTTCAAATTAACAATGACAATATTCTTGTGTTTCCTAAGAGAGGGGTGAACTTGAGCAAGCTTTGTACACCCTTCAAGAATCAATTTTTCAAGATGAGGAATTCCATCAAATTTTGGTGTTTTGATGAAGCAATTTGAATGACTCAAGTCAATAGATCGAAGCCTTCGTAGAACCTGAAAGAAGAGAAGAGGGGGAAAATCTTTGAAAACCAAAATCTTGTTGTAAATGTATTAAATTACATATCGCAACTTAAATAATGGAGGGCAATGTTGATTACCTGTGTTCCTCTCCAAAGTTTTGTTAACCTGCTATATTGCATTTTAAGATCAACAAGTTCATTCAATTGAGTCTGACTTGGTAGAACATCTAAAGGATAACCTTGCCATTTTAGGACTTTCAATGAGCTTGAAATGCATTTAAGTCTATGAGGAAGATTCAATTGGCAATGTGAAGATAGTGAAGGACTTGATATAATAAGTAATTGAGATCACTCAACTTTGAGACGGCTTTAGGATTCCAAAATGCATTTGATGATTTCTCCAGTGCTAAAGCTATACCTCGAATTGCTTTTGTCCCCTGTAGAACAATAGGCCAAGCAAATAATATGTATGGAAGTCAAGGTAGAATTACTAAATAAAGAGTGCACAATCATCATAAAAGACACAATAGAAGAAAAGAAATGAGTGTTACCTTATTTCTTTCCAGTACATGATTAGCATCCTCCAAATACAATATGCTACTACGTTGGCCAGCATCATTGGGTGATTCTTGAAAAACAATATTCTTACCCAGTTCTTGAAGCATTTGATGCATCCTCACGAATGTTCCATCATCAATTAACAATGATTTGTCAATGAGAACTTTTATTCGAATTATTGGGTAAAGATCACAATTTTGTAAAATCTGTATGACATAATCTTTTGCCATCCCATTGAAAAATCAAGCAATATATAAGAATATAGTTTTCTCATCATCTTCCAATTCATCAAAGCTCACTTTAAGTATCTTCAAAATGTCATTTGGAGAATCTTCTTGAACTTTGCTAGTGCATCATTCCATTCTGATATAGTTCTTCCACAAAGAAATGAACCTAAGACTTTGAGCGCCAAAGGGAGGCCTCCGGCATATTTAATCACAGCTGTAGATAGCACCAAATAATATTCATTTGGATAATCTGCTTTAAAAGCTTTTTGACAAAATAGTTGGAGTGATTCAACATAAGTTAAGAAATTGATCTTATATAGAGTAGATACCCCATGCAATGATAGTAAATGCTTACCTCTAGTAGTAATTATTATTTTACTCCCATGCCCAAACCATCCTTTTTTTCCAACCAAGTTCTCAAGTTGGCTTACATTACTCACATCATCAAGGACAAGTAGAATTTTTCTATTGCAAAACATGTTCTTAATCAACTTCCTTCCTTCAAAACAGTCATCCACTTCCATTCTTTTATTCAAACAAGACAGAAATACTCCTTGCAAGAAAGGCAAACCATCTGTTTCAGCTACCTCTCTGATATTATTTAGAAAGCAATTAATGAACCTCAAAGTCTTTGTGCCTTTGCTCAAAAAAAAAAAAGAAAAAGAAAAACTCTAGCAAGAGTAGTCTTACCTAAACCTCCTGTGCCCCATATTCCTATAAATTGAGTTTCACCCCCCATTCATTTGCTGCAATTGAGTCCAATTCTGCCAACTTTGATTCAATTCCAACTAACATATCGGAATCAAATGGAAGTTCAGCAGGTAATTTTGACATCACCTTTCCGGCAATGTTTTCAATTAACTCAGTTTCATGCCTACAAAGGAAAATATAATGGTATCGTGACTATTGTAGTCGATTCAATTCTAAAATTTTACATAAACTATATAAAATGTTGTGTGAGGTCCTTTCCAATAATTTTGAGGTATTTTTCTGTCATTTTGTATTCAGTTAATAGTCAAAGTTAACTTCGTTAACTGTAAAGGCTAAATTGTACCGTTGTAAAAGTTAAAGAGGAATATTGTACAAAAAATGAGTTCAAAGTTTTAAATACTCTTGAACCTATAGGCTATAGTTTAAAGGCCAGTTTACTCATTTATCCAAATAAATATTACCTCTCTTAACAAATACTTCATTTTTCCTTGACCATCCTCTTAACGAATACTTTGATAAAGGAAGGAAATCTTTTTTTACCGAAATGTTGCCTTACATATAAGATATTATGATCATGTAGATCTCATATATGTGTGTGTACGCGTGCGCGCACACCAAATTTAAAATATCAAATAACAAGAAGTGCGCACCGAAATCAAATGATTATTAGTCCTTTATTATTGAAAAAAATAATCTATTAGATCATTAAATAAGCTGCTTGGGAATACAGTTGTCTTCCCATGGTTTTTCAATGAAATTTGAACAGTTCAATCTATGTAATTGAAATTAATTAATGGCTTAAAAGAGTTATTAATTGTTATTTTCCCATATAATATTGTATGACAACCTTTCTATTATTTTCTGAAAAATACACTTCAGTCCAATCTCATATCATATTAAGAATATTTCTATAAAATATAATATAATAGTTGTTCATTAAAATTTATATCAAAATAAGTTTTTGGGAAAAATGGCAATTAAGGAACTCATAAAACCATTAATTACAATTAGGCCCCTGAATTATTAGAAATCTCAATAATGGACAAGCAAGAGTTTAAAATCAAGAAAAGATACTACTAAAATTACTATTATGAATTAGCATTATTGTTAATCTCAATTAGGAAAATTAGGATCCACACTTGAACTAAGATTAACAATAGTCAAAGCCCATGATACTAATTGCAATAGTCCTAACCCATAATAATACTTGGGATCCTAGTTTTTTCAATTAAAATCAATAATAGTCTCAACCCATAATAATAATTCTAGTAGTGTCTTTTCACAATCTTTCAAGTGGTTTACTTATATATATATATATATATATATATATTAATAAGCATAAGAATTCACAAGTGCTTTTTAAAAGTTTTATAAGTGAATTTTAGTTTCATACCAAGAAATAACCCATTTTCAAGTATGATTCTTGATTTTTCCTATTAAGATTAACTATACATGCAACTCATAATAGCAATTTCAATAGTATTTTTTCTTAATTTGAAACTCATGTTTTTGATTTCAAGTAAGGACTAAGGTCCACTATTGAGATTTCAATAATTCAGGATCCTTAATTGTAAGTAATGGTCTTATGGAGTCTTTAATTGTTATTTTCTCTAAGCTTCATTATTTGATCTAAACTATATTATTTTTATAATATGGTAAAACAGTCAAAAGACATTTTAAGCCAGTGTTTGAGTTAAAAGATGACTAATTAAAAATCCATATTAAAATATACATTTTAAATGCATATTTGAAAGTTATTTTTGGGAGAATGATAGCTGGGTCCTAGAAGTTTGAATTAATAACAATTAGGTTCCCCATAAAATTTTCTAAAAATTTAGTTATAAATATCAATTCAAATAGTTACAAATAAAAATTCTTGTTACAATCTAATAATTGCATTTGATACTTAAATATGCATTTGTAATTGAAATTCTTGATTTGCAGTTATCTAAATCAATATTTTCAACTTATTTTCCACAAAAATTTGTTTGGGACCTACTTGTCATTAATTTAATATTTTGTAACCTAACTGTCCTTCTTCCTTTTTTTTTCATGGAAGATAATTTTATAATATATTTTAAAATATATACATAAATTGTTTTACTTTTGGCTAACATGAGAGTTTAAATAATTGTTAGATAATATTTATATTAAATAAGGTTTTTGTTAAAAACATTTTATAATGATATTTAACCGATGATTAAGGGTTAATTTTTTTTACTAGCGATGATTAAAGGCTAATTTGATGGGAATGGAATCTTAAAGATAAAATAAAAGCCTTTGTACTTCTTCAACCCTTTTTATAAGAGATTTTTTTAGAAATTATTTTCTTTCTTTTTTATAAGAGACTGCACATTTCTAGATGTATGAATTTTGAAAAATTACCTAGTAGCCTTAGTTAACCAAATTAAATATAGACAGGTCCCCTAAATACTAATAGGTTCTAAGGAACTGGAGAGTAATTTGGAAAAAAGAATTAAATGACTTCAGTGTCCTTTGACCATGTTGACAAACATGGTATTATTGATTGACCATTGACCAAAAAATGGTGTTGACCGCCCGCTGATTGTGTTGGATCACTTGCTGGCCGCTATCGATCAAACAAATATTTTATTTTAATAATTTCTTAATTCAAATATTAATAATTTAATATTAACAAATAACAAGAATAACTTTCATATTTACTCTCTTCAATAAAAATGTAAGGCATTTTTTAAGAGTCTAGATGTTAAAAATGTAAATCATTTTTAATATTTTCATGTGTAATTAATATGCTTTTACTAAAAGGTTATATTATCTTAAAGTGAAACACCTTATTAAATAGGGATAAATATAAAAAGATAATATTAGTTTGAAAACAAGTAACTACTTTTATTAAGAGTGTGATTTGATTAAAATATCTTATATTTTTAAAAAAATAAATATATGTAGAGTTGCATCATTTACTAGTAATGGTGGAGTAATGATCCTGTGTCAGGAGTTCAGGTTAATTTGAAAAAATAATAATCCAAAAAGAAATTATTTAAAAAATTTAATAAATAATTATATATTTTATAATTATGTCCTCTGCTGATTGTCAAATATTACTAAAAATTCTCTCCATATAAATAGCTAAATTATGATATTATTTATCTATAAAAAATCTATAAATGCGTATAATAATTCAACGTAAACCTAAAAAGTAAAATAAATAAGTATATTCTATTATAAAAATTATATTAGAGTTTTGAATTTAGTGAATTCAAATTTGCCTTAAGTTAAAAGCATTCACATAAAAAAGTTTAGATCTCAAGAGGTGCAAAATTTTGTGGTGAAAATTTGACTTGTAAATATGAAAGTTTAACTTATATTCACTACATTGTTAAATTTGACTTTTAAAAAGCTGCAACTTGCATCTAATAATAAATTTGACTTGAATATATGAAAATTTGAGTTGTAAACATTAAATTTTAAATATTTGATGTTAAAAATATTATGATAATTTTTTGTTTGACCCTCGACCAGCCATCTCCAGTCAACGCTAGCTATTGAGGAAATGGCAAAAGGTCAAGGCATTGCGGTCTTTTCACACCTTTTCCAAATTACTCCCAAGTCCTATTAGATCTATTAGTATTAAATTAAATTTATAGGACCAATTTATATTTATTGTTAACATAGTATTTACTTGTTTTCTTTATGCATTCTTAATTTTGTATAGAAACAAGGCTATACTAATTTGTTGAACTTTATGTGATGGTTGTTAAACGTCTCTAACAAAAAGGAACCAAGAGAGTAACTTAACTTTTCATTTCAAAAGATAACTATCGAGATTTCCAAAATAGAATGGAGGCATTTCTAATTGAGATAAAAATATAGGGAAAGTTATTTATAAAGATCGAATTCAAAAAACAATTTATTCCTAAGGACATCCAGTGTTAAATAGTAGAACGGATACTTGTAAAATTTTGTTGTCAGGATAGGTAAACTTGAACTTGTTCCTTAAGAATAAATACTTTCTGAATTTTATTTGCCTCTTTATGATTAATTTTCTTTAAAATATAGGGGAGACTAGTGTATTATACTTTACAATTAATATATAATAAAATTTTAAAACATTGAGACAATTAAAAAAATCATATAAAACTTCTTATGTGCTCATTGTGCGCGCAAGAATAATAATAACAGTGCTTTATACTTACTGTAATTTTGATTTGCATACAATAAAGCATTGTCACATGCCCATGTAGATATAAAGCTATGCACAGTAAGATCTAACATGCTTGCATACTATAATAAATAGTCTTATTTCAATTATCTGATTATTGAAATTGATTTAGCACCAGGTTGCACGGATACTAATGTGGGTGTCGGATATTATATGTATCCGATACGTTGATATTTTAATTTTTAAAAATATAAGATACAACACATTTCTGATACATTTATATATATTTATAAAAAATATTAAAATATACTTTTAATTAAAAATATTTAAATTAGCTTACATATATGGTCCTTTATAATAATACCAAGTAAAATATAATCATCAATTGTTATTTTATTTTATCTATACCTAATTGCCTACCATCTAGTTCTTACTAATAGGTATAGTATCAATATCTCCTCCTTCTCAACTATCATAAGATTACATTTTCACATTTTTTATAATTAAAATTGTAATATTTATTCTTTTATTACATCCAAAACTTATTTTTTAAGGAATATCTAATCTTTGCCTTTAAAAGTAAATTAAAAAATGATATTAGTAATAAAAAGTTTAATATTGCAAGTTTTGATAAATTTAATTTTTTTAAATTTTTATTTTTCAAGTATCTATTAACAATCTATAAGTATCCGATGCGTATTGAAAATTTAAAAATTTTTTAAAATTAAAAATATTATTTTGATATTTTATGGATATGTATCGAAGAAGTATCAGTGAGCATCGATATCGGATGAGATATCGATATGAATACATGAGGCAATTTAAAGTATTGGTACTTCATATATTTAGCATCATAAAATGTAAATGTTTTAATTCTTATGTTAGTATATATAGATTCATCCATTCATATCTCAAGATTATAATAAATCATTTTAACTATGGTTATTGTCATGAGGATATGATTACAAAAATGAGCCAAAGAAGAAAGGAAACAGACCAATTCAAAACAATATCATTGATGGCATTCAACAATTAATAAAATGGCCTGGAAGGAGAAGAAAGAAATTCTAAATTTAAATATTGTTATTGGAATTCATCAAATTCCCTCACTTTTAGAGGGGAGGGATATTGTTATTTAATTAACCATGGTTAAGAGTTTTAAAGTTCTTAATTAAATTTAAATATCCAAACCCTTACAAGTTATTATTATTGAAGAAAAGGTGATGATAATTAGTGAGAGATGTAGAAATTACCGATTCTTGGAGTGCCAACCAGACAAGTTAACAATTTCTTCCAACGCATCCTTCCATTCTTGCACCTTCATTGTGTCTTGTATAAATTTTTCTTGAAGCTCTTTGAATGCTTTTCCAAACATTCCTTTTCGATGCCGAATATCAGATGGATCGATACCATAAAAGATTGGAAATACTTGAAGACCCAACACCTTCTTGGAATGAAGAATCTTTAGAAGTTCATCTAAGCACCAGGTTGAAGAAGCATAATTTGGGGAGAGCACAACAATTGCATAAAGAGATTCTTCAATTGCTTGAAATAGATCCGATTTAATAACTTTTCCCCTTTCAAGTCCTTCATCGTCTCTAAAAGTTATGATTCCCTTGCGCTGCAATGTAGCATGCAAGTGGTCGGTAAAACTTGTACACCATATATATGCTCTAGACAGAGCAGTTAGCTTATTAAAAATTTTAATATTAAATTTAGACCATCCATATTAAATCTAAAATATCTAAATTGGTGAGCAGATGTATAACTTTTTTTATTTTAATAAATATAAATTTAAAATAATAATTCAAAATATTAACTTTGAATCATTCAGATATCTGGACAATTCAGATTTACCTCATCCATTCTTCGCTCACCGGAGGGAAGGAACTCCGTCAAAGCATGCGATGCTTTTCATTCTATACTGAAACAATTTTGATATGTCTATACTGAAACAAACAAAACATGCACTTAGAGAGTGAGACTAAGCAAATTAATATGTCATAAAACCAAGTCCCATCAGCTACAATCTTAGCTTTTTTATTCTCAACTTCATTGGGATTGTTTAAGTTGTCAGAATGAATCTCAACTTCATCTCTGGTTTTTTGCCATCTTTGGACATCGCTGCACAACAAACACACTTTCTTCTATTAAATAAACAGTAATGACTTAATATACACTGTAAAATGATACTCCTTCTATATTATCTATAACATTTTCATATGTCTTAATATGAGATTTTTTATAAGAAACCAGTGGAATGTAAATTAATGAGTTTTTTTCCCCCAAAAATGTCCTTCACAAATCCACAAACAAATATCATGTTCTGTCTTTTTCAATGGTGTAATTAATGTGAGTAAGAAAGACCTCTAATTGACAGTAGTTTTGTATATCTTTATGGCGGCGGAATGCTCTTATAATTAATTGTTTTTTAAAAACCCAACTTGTAACAGATAATTACGTGATATGCTAAACCGTAAAAGGAAAACATTGCAAAAATTGATATGCACATTGTATTTTATTAGTGAAATTTAGATAATAAAAATACAAATTGCTCCTACATCTCACCTTTAAACATGTGATCGTACATAAGATCTAGTTTGAAATTTAGATAATAAAAATACAAATTGCTCCTACATCTCTCCTTTAAACATGTGATCGTACATAAGATCTAGTTTGACCTTTGATAGAGAATTGAAACTAAATTATGTCATACAAGTGCCACCAAACCAACAACACAAAAATAAGAAAAGTATTGCAAAATATGACAATAAATCCAATACTATAAACAAACAATGCCGATGGAAACAAAAAAATTAAGGGAATATAATATTTATACGAATTGAAAGATTATATTAAATTTATGCATAAAAGAAAGATTTAAATATTCATAAAAAAAGAATAATATAAAATATAAACTTTCAATTAAAATAAAAATGTTTGACATACCTTGAAGCATTTGTTCTTATTCTACGCACTTTGTTAGGCGGGCTTCGCGTTTTAGTCTAACTATGAACTGATCATTGACGCTAACATAACATTAATTCCATGTTTCAACATCTTCTTTACACACCACACGCCACCCACATTTCCTTAGTTTGACCTTTGGGGACTCATTGTCAAATGTATTTCCAACAGAAAATACCACTTGAAGTCCATTTACAACCAAAGAAGAACAAGGAATATATATAATACAGCGTTGATGACTCCAATTTGATAGCAACCAACTGATATAGATACCATAGGTATTAGGAAATTGATCATTAAGAAATCTGGATGTCCACCAAAAAAACTCAACTTCTTGTTCATAGGCCAAACCATTTTCTAACACTAAGCATGTGGCTATGCCCCACCATTCACTTGAACGACAATAATCAGGTATGCTTAGTATGAATGACACATTTGGATAACTGAATTCTTTCTCACAAAAGTAGTCTCAATTATGAAACCATGATGGCACTTCATTACCTGAAGTTGTTAATACACGATTAGGTTGCACGAGGAAGTCAGGCTGTGACAAAACAAATCGTAAGTCTTAGAAGTATAATGATTAATGCGTAAGAAATGAAAAATTAATATATACAAGTCAAATATAGATATTCAATATTCCGGAAAAAACAAGAAAAAAAAGAAATTGAAATAATTAAAAAAAATCACAATTTGTGAATCCTGTGTCAAAATTGCAGAGACAGGACTTAAACGGACAATTTTATATCCTCCATAAAATTCTTCTAGTGAGAGGTCATTGTAATTGTGAACCTATAAGGAAAAATTGACTATATTAAAGAAGTATAATGATTAATGTGAAAGAACAAGTGAAGACAAATAAAATAAATCAGCGATTGGAATGATTCAACGAACTCCCATAGATTCTTTGAACGTGCATAGTGCTCCATTGATGGAAAACCACTTGCCCAAATAAATGATAGATTTGATGGCAGTTGTGGTAAGGACTTAAGCATTGGGCAATCAATGAGACCAATACATTGAAGCTTCGAAAGATTGGAAATGAGGCCAGAAGGTAAGTCAATGAAATTGTTTCCACTTAAATCTAATGTTGCCAATGATGTAAAGCTGCTAACATCATCAGGAAGTGATCCATTATAGAGATTGCAATAACCTAAATTTAATTCGCTCAAGCATGAAAAAGAAGGGGACAAGAAAAGATTTATTGAGGTTGAAGGCCTTTGCAGCCCAAATGCCTTCCTGAGAAGGGAAAGGCAACTCCATGATGTTGAAGAATGTGCTTGACACCAATAGGGTAGTCCAAGAGGTAAGCGGCTCGGTTCTGCTTAAGCAAGGTCTTGAGTACGAGCCTTATGTATGTAAAAAACCCCCACTGGGAGACTCATCCACCATAGCTAGGTGTGCAATGCAGGTTGGATCCTCTGGCATCCTTGAAAGCTTTGACCAACCAGAAATTGTGATAATCTTCTTGGCTGTCATTCTACGGACATTATTTTGAAGGCAAACCAGATTTTTGCAGCCTGACAAATTTAATTCAGCAAGACCAATCAAATTGCCCAGTGATTTAGGTAGTTTGGATATAGCAATGTCATCTAAATCAAGCTTAGAGAGACATTTCATATCCTTTCCAAACTCAGGAAGTCTGCTAATTTTTGAACCACTTGACAGAACAAAAGTCTGTAAGCAATCCATCTCAAATTTTCTTGGAAGGGTTTTAACTTTTGTGCAGCCTTTCAAATTAACAATAACAAGATTCTTGTGTTGCCCAAGAGACTGGTGAATTTCAACAAGGTTAGAACACCCTTTGAGAATCAATCGTTCAAGATTAGGAATTTCATCAAAATTTAGGGTTTTGATGAGGTATTTGGAATGAGATAAATCAATGGACATCAGCCTTTGTAGAGACTTGAAAAGAAAATAAAAAGAAACAAGAAAACAGTAAGTCCTCAAAACCAAAAGCTAGTTATAATAATAAGTGCATCAAATTATGGACAAGGAATTAAAATGGAAGGACAATCATTACCTGTGCCTCTCTGCAAAGTTCTTTTACTTTGCTATGTTCGTTTTTAGATGAACAAGTTTATGAAGTTGAGTGTGTCTAGGAAGAGAATCTAAAGGATACCCCTCCCATTCAAAAACTCTCAACTCATTGGGAAGAGATTTAAGTCCAGCAGGAAGATTCAATTGGCAATGAGAAACATGTGATGAGCAACTTGAAATGATAAGTAACTTGAGATTACTCATTTGTACATAGGCTTCAGGATCCCAAAGTGCATCAGATTTTTCTAATTTTAGAGCTATACCTCAAGTCGCTCCTGTACACTATAAAATAGCAAGTCCAGTTAATAATACACCAAATTCATGGAATGACATAATAAATAAAGGGTGCACATACAATCACAAGAACATAAGGGGTGTTACCTTATTTCTTTTTAGGATATCCTTGGCATCCTTCAAAGACAATATATCCTAGAACGCTTACTAGCATCATTAGGTGATTCTTGAAGGACAATATATTTTCCCATATCTTGAAGAATATCATGACCCGCAAACGCCCTTCATGGTTGATTACTAGCATTGATTTTTCAGTAAGAACCTTTATTCCAAATTTTGGGTGAAGATCTTCATCAAATGTTTCTAAAATTTGTATGACATAATCTTTGGCCATCCCATTGAAAAAGCAAGCAACATCCAAGAACATAGTCTTCTCCTTATCATCTAATCCGTCATAACTCACTTTAAGCATCTTCAGCATATCATTTGGCGGAACCTTCTTGAACTTGGAAAGTGCATCCTTTCATTCCACTATAGTTCTTCCACAAAGAAATGAACTTAACACTTTGAGAGCCAAAGGAAGGCCTCTGGCATACTTTATCACATTTTTAGAAAGCTTTAAGTAACCTTCATTTGGTTGATTTTTTTCCTTTAAAAGCATTTTGATGGAAAAGTTGAAGGGACTGGTCATCACTCAAGAATTTGATGTTATACTGAGTAGATACATCATATGATGATAACAAATGCATATCTCTTGTTGTTATTAATATTCTACTCCCATTGCCAAACCATCCTTGCTCTCGAGCCAAATATTCAAGTTGGCCTATCTTACTCACATCATCAAGGACTAGAAGAATTTTTCTATTCACCACCATGTTTTTTATCAACTTCATTCCTTCATAACAATCATCCACTTCTACACTTCTTTTATTCAAAGAAAAAAGGAGTTTTCTTTGCAATGAAATCAAACCACCTTTTTCAAATACCTCTCTGATATTATGGAGAAAGCAACAAACCTCAAAGTCTTTGCGTTTTCACTCATAAAAGGCTCTTGCAAGAGTAGTTTTGCCTAAGCCTCCCGTTCCCCAAATTCCTATAGATTGAACTCCTTTCTAATCACTTGCTATAACTGACTCCAACTCATCTAATTTTAATTCAATTCCAACTACCACACTGAGGTCAGATGGCGATTCATCAAGTAACTTAGACATCATTTCTTTAGCAATGGTTTCAATGAATTTTGTTTCATGCCTAAATATAGAAAAATAAAATTATAGGATGATCTTTCTTTTAGCTAAAAATAGCATGATTGTTTAAATCAATTGAATTATAAATTTTCACGCATAAACACTATAAATAGTTAATGTGAGTTATAAAGAAAACATGACCACAAATGTAACAATTTTAAATTTACTGTGAAACTGAATTTAACTTATCAAGAATAAACGATATATCTTAATTAAAAAAAAAAAGAATAAGCGATATATAGTTTTATTCATAGAAGAGCTGAACGTGGCTTCTAGTATTTATTCGCATGGGCCAACACCGACTTTAATTAATAAGAATATTCACATCAATTTAACTTTCTTGATAGTAAAAAAAAAAAAAAAAGCAAAATGTCTAGATCTAAGCATCGGCATCATGCCCTTTTTGAAATCTAGTATTTAATTTACAATTAATGAGAATATTTCGATGTGCCAACATTTCCTTTATCATAATTATTAAATTAATGTATTTCAATGTTAGAT